ATTCTACTGTTACACATATCCCAGAACCCTCAGGCGAGTGCACCCACACAAACCTGACAATGAATTCTACTGTTACACATATCCCAGAACCCCCAGACTAGTGCACCCACACAAACCTGGCAATGAATTCTACTGTTACACATATCCCAGAACCCCCAGACTAGTGCACCCACACAAACCTGGCAATGAATTCTACTGTTACACATATCCCAGAACCCTCAGACGAGTGCACCCACACAAACCTGACAATGAATTCTACTGTTACACATATCCCCAGAACCCCCAGACAAGTGCACCCACACAAACCTGGCAATGAATTCTACTGTTACACATATCCCAGAACCCCCAGACGAGTACACCCACACAAACCTGGCAATGAATTCTACTGTTACACATATCCCAGAACCCTCAGACTAGTGCACCCACACAAACCTGGCAATGAATTCTAGTGTTACACATATCCCAGAACCCTCAGACTAGTGCACCCACACAAACCTGGCAATGAATTCTACTGTTACACATATCCCAGAACCCCCAGACTAGTGCACCCACACAAACCTGGCAATGAATTCTACTGTTACACATATTCCAGAACCCCCAGACTAGTGCACCCACACAAACCTGGCAATGAATTCTACTGTTACACATATCCCAGAACCCCCAGACTAGTGCACCCACACAAATCTGGCAATGAATTCTACTGTTACACATATCCCAGAACCCCCAGGTTATTCACAGACCTGTCAATAAAACCTATTACATGTATCCTAGAATCTTGTTAGTGCGCCCTCACAGAACGACAATGTATTTCACTATTACATGTATTCCAGAACCTTTTGGTCAGTGCGCTCTCACAGAACATGGGAATGAAATTTATGCTCGGAGGAGTACATCCGGGCATTTTCATCGCTTAGCAACCATCACGGTGAAAACAAAGGCCGAAAACTCTTAGAAAATGGTACTTTGAAATGGTGGTTGAGACTTCCATGAACGGTGTAACAAGATTACCCCTGTGTGTGCAACATAAATAAATTTGGTTGCTCCTAGATTACTTCAAAGTTGAGATAGTCTTGTTTTCTTGAATTTAGCACTTTTCATCGGTTCTTCGACTGGCGTTCCACAGCAGCTCGTGCAGAGCCCATACAAATACATGGTACATGCAGTGGTGCACGTCTTGGCAACATGGAACGTCTTGTGATGTAGCTCCGCCCCAAAGATAACGTACCTCCCTGAACCTCCAGGTTAGTGCACCCTCAAAGAACTGTCAAAGTATTCTACTAATACTTTTATCCCATACAACCCCCCCATCCCCCGTTAGTGCGCTCTCACAGGACATAAATAAAATTTTGTAACATACATCCGAGAACGCCCAGTTTAGTGCACCCTTACAGACCTGATAATGAATTCTGTTACATGTAACAATATCCCCAATATAAATTAAGTTTGAATTACCACTATTACATACCATTGTTAACATTGACAGCAAATCTTCTGTGTGTGCTTTAGATAAGAACACCTCTGTTATCGCCTGAATGAACCAACTACCCCGCTCAGAATTACGCCATGATACATAGCCTACAGACAAATATAGACAATATTTTTTGAATAATTGGGAATTTGTGTATTTTCACTGCCTGGAAACCACCAGTGAAAACAAAGGTCGAAACATTTTTGACCCCCACTCCCTTGAACAGTGTAACAAGACTACTACATGTGCAACAAATAAATTTGGTTTTTCAGGATACCTCAAGGTTGAGTTTGTGCTGTGTTTTTGACTTTTCATCGGCTCTTTGACCAGTGTCTCACAGCAACTTGTACCAAGCCCATGAAAATACACTATACAGTGGTGTATGTTTGAGAAACACAGAATGTTCTGTGATTTAGCTCCACCCCGTGAATAGAGTGAAATTACAAAGCTTGAAGAGCAGTCTATCTCTATAAATATCTGAGAATTACAGAATGTTCTGTGATTTAGCTCCACCCCGAGAATAGAGTGAAATTACAAAGCTTGATAAGCAGTCTATCTCTATATATATCTAGCATTTATTTATCAATCAATCCTAACATCATATGAAGTTAAATTGTAAGCTGAACTCCAACTTTGTTGCTTTAAACAAAGTTTCAAAAATGTTTTATACAAATCATACATGGTTTGTATTGGACTCTGGTGGTACCAACATTTACCATTACTGCTCATTTCAGCTTACCTGGTACTGTGGCATAAGCTAACAACATATCTCCTTCACTTGGCACAGTCTGTTTTGTAGCAAATGCATCTGTACTGTCTAATTCCATATCAAGCATTTTCTCAACCAGCTGTTCTGGTGACAATTTGGATTCAGTTTCTTCAAGTCTAGGGGACTTCCGGGCTGGTTCTTTACCATCTTCCAATGAAACCACCCTACCTGCATCCATGGCATCATATCCACGGTCAAATGACTCTGTAATGGATTCAGAAGTAAAAATGATGAAATTAAAGAATATCAAAGAATTTGGTCTGTGGAAGCTTTTATCAGTTTATTAAAATTCAAAGGAATCCACATGCTGCATGGACATGGTTGAAAGTGTTACAAACGTTTTTGAATGCCTTCATTTGAAATTGTGTGTCGTGTTAAATGCCACATTTGAACTCTATTTGTTGCAAACTTCAGAAATATAATCATGTCACTAAACGCAAATGTTCACACATTGCAAAACATTCTTTATTGCTATTTCAGGCTGTGTCTGCTGCCGCTGCAGCCTTGCACTACGTTATGCTAGATTGCCGCCGCGAATACACTGGATCAACTGTGTGTAGGAGTACATACCCGGGTACATGTATGTAGTTGTATCGTTACACAAGTGTTTTCAACCCATCAAGGTAGATGATATAGGCAACTGCCTTGCTGTGTATAGTTATTTTCAAATTCTATGGGCCTGTGATTTGATGAAAACTTAGAAGCCAAACTAACATAGCTAGAAGAGTATAGTGTAGAATAGATAGAATAGAATAGAATAGTACTTTATTGACACCGTAAAGAAAATATTACATTTCTTTTTTGGTTATGTAGTACTACTCACTACAAAAAACAGAACAAATTCATCTCTCTGTTCTCTCAGTTGACACATTCTCATTTAGTTTTATTACATTTGCTTGGCTAACTTTAGTTCATTGACCTGATTGGGCGACCCAGTCAGGAGACCACACCCACAATACCAGCATCAGTCGCGGAACCTAGAAGCGCACGTTCTCGAAGCATGCCTTGACCGAGCATGCTTTAGTGTACAGAGCAGACAACGATACCCTCAAAAATTTGTCTGATTTTGATATTGGACTATTTTTAATATATTTGATGTCAGTTTTAGTATTGAATACATGTTATCTTGTTATCTTCTTTATTCATTTTCGAAAACATTGTATTTATATCCATTGTACAGGGCCTTGATGCTCAATAATGGGATACATTATCACAAATAATCTGCAGCAATAATGTCATAAAATCCACTGGTATTGATAATGCTATAATATGATACACCATAATGAATAATGACAGTTGTCTCAAATATAAATAATAAACAAATGTTAAAATCTCCATCTTTAGTGATAAATACATGGCCTTAGATATGAATAACTAAATCAAGTGGTTATGTTTGATAGCGTGACTTGAAAAATAAGATTATTTTACTTGGAATTTTCCTAGTCCTTATGTAAGACTGGTTGTAAATTCAGTGCATTCAAATATTATAGAAACAGACATAGGTACTGAATCTGACAACAAACAATGTTCACACTATCATGTCTTGCCTGGGTAGGTATGGATTCACTAATTTTGAATCAAATGCACAAATGTGCATAATAACCATTATGTTTTGTACCTACTTTGAACTCAAATTGGATAAAACAAGTTCCAAAAAATTATTAACACATTAAGAACAAATATTACCAAGGTTTCATTCTCATCCAGCAGATGCTCTGGAAACACTGACAATCTTGTATGTAGCCCATATAAATATGGTGAAAATAATGAATAGGTAACAATAAACATACCTCCTCTGCAGGCTTGAATAAAAAAAAGTTTTGGTTTGCGTCGTAGACTAGGACAATTAGCACCATTAAACTTAGATGTGATGTCTTCAACCTTCAGTAATTCTCCATCTGTACTATAGATGGCGCCATTGACGCCATGACTCAGCAATGCAATTACGCAGCAGTCATAACTAGTGTGGTCTATTTCAGCAAATTTATCCAATGCTCTATGAATCTCCTGTTGAATTGAAATTAAAATCATCAATCCATTGTTAATGAATCTGAGTATGTAGTCCAGTGCATGCAATCACAAATCAGAGGGTGTAGCCCAGTGTGCAATCACGAATCAGAGGGTGTAGCCCAGTGTATGCAATCACGAATTAGAGGGTGTAGCCCAGTGTATGCAATCACGAATTAGAGGGTGTAGCCCAGTATATGTAATCACGAATTAGAGGGTGTAGCCCAGTATATGCAATCACGAATTAGAGGGTGTAGCCCAGTGTATGCAATCACGAATTAGAGGGTGTAGCCCAGTGTATGCAATCACGAATTAGAGGGTGTAGCCCAGTGCATGCAATCACAAATCAGAGGGTGTAGCTCAGTGTATACAATCACGAATTAGAGGGTGTAGCCCAGTATATGTAATCACGAATCAGAGGGTGTAGCCCAGTATATGTAATCACGAATCAGAGGGTGTAGCCCAGTATATGTAATCACGAATCAGAGGGTGTAGCCCAGTATATGTAATCACGAATCAGAGGGTGTAGCCCAGTATATGTAATCACGAATCAGAGGGTGTAGCCCAGTGTATGCAATCATGAATTAGAGGGTGTAGCCCAGTGTATGCAATCACGAATTAGAGGGTGTAGCCCAGTGAATGCAATCACGAATCAGAGGGTGTAGCCCAGTGAATGCAATCACGAATCAGAGGGTGTAGCCCAGTGTGCAATCACGAATTAGAGGGTGTAGCTCTGTGCATGCAATCACGAATTAGAGGGTGTAGCCCAGTGTATGCAATCACGAATCAGAGGGTGTAGCCCAATGTATGCAATCACGAATCAGAGGGTGTAGCCCAGTGTGCAATCACGAATTAGAGGGTGTAGTCCAGTGTATGCAATCACGAATTAGAGGGTGTAGCCCAGTGTATGC